TTGTGTCCACCCTGTGCATTGTCCATGATTCCTGATAGCACAACACACTGTAACAGTCACATATGTGTATGTTTCTTTCCCTGTAACAATGCATGTTGCTTAAGGGCAGCATTTATTTCCTGTTTACCCCAATAACACCCGCACAAAGTCAGATATGTACATAGCCATTGATATTTACATACAAGGGAATTGTAATAGTTAACTGTGGTGTGAACCTGATAAGAAATGTCCAGTATATTGGTTTAGCATAGTTCTGTGCATGTCTGCATGATGGATTTAATGAAGAGAACTAACTTGCCCTGGGTGAGTGGCACCAACCAATAGGCTTGGAGTCTGGATGGAACCAAAAGGAATAGAAAGAAGTCTTGCTTCTGTTTTATAAGAGGCACTCCAGTTGTCATCATTGCCTTAGGACGTCCATCTCTAGGCCTCCAGTGTACAGTCTTTCAGCACAGACCCTTCAGCTTCTGATACACAGTTACATGGGACTTTGCAGTGAGCTGCAGTCCTTCTGCTTCTGATTGGATCCTTCAGCTCTCCAGTATATAGATGGCTTTTTGCACAATTTCACACCTGACTCTTTAACTGGCCACATTAAGCCTCCTAGTAAATCTTTATATATATCACATATATGTCATATATCTATCTTACATTAAATCTGCCCCTTGTGTGCATACTGACTGATACAAAAATGAATAAGTGAATGACCAAATGACACTTGGCTTTTTTTTTTTTTTAAATGTATTTGATACAGGGTCTCACTACACAGCTTGGACTTATAGTGATACTTCTGTTTTCAGTCCCTCCAATGTGGGGATTACAGACATGCGCCACCACACCTGGTTTCCATGCCTGGTCTTGGTGGCTTGCTCAGTGCACCCAGGTGCAAGGCTGGTGCAGCATGTGGTGCTAGGGATCAAACTCAGGTCCCTGTGCTTGCCTAGGTAGGCGATTAGTCCACTGAGCTATCTTGTTAGCCCACTTAGCTTTTTTAAAGCTGGCTCCCCAAGTTTTGGGGTCCAAGAAATTTAAAAAGATTGACTTTATGTGGCAGAATTAAGAGCTGAAATGCTTATAATGGCAGGAGGATATTTTGTTTAGGATCATCCAGTTTATATGGTTAGCCACAGTAGGTTAGCAAAAGTAACTAACTCTGGTGTAAATATACTTTGGGATTATTTTAAAATTACCATGAATTACTAAAACCTTATCTGATGAGCTTGAAATAATTTTTTTTTTTTGCGGAACCGGGGATTGAACTCAAGCCCTTCAAGCACTTATTCTACTGAGCTATCTCCCCAGCCCACAAATAAATGTTTGATAACATACTACACTAAACATTTAAAAGGAAATAGTTCTCAGGATATGTTCTTACTGTATAAGAACATTTAATGATAACATTTACCAAGAGATAAGGCTAAAATACTTTATAATTATGGTTTAATTAAAACGAATTGGCATATCTAAAACAGAGGCTAAACTAATGGCTTATGTTATACAATGTCAACATATTCAAGTAATTAAGTAATTAGGACTGAAACAAAATAATGTAAATTTGGCTTTTTTTGTATGAATTTGTATGTTCCTAGATTTAAAGTTGTATTTTATTTCTTTAGGTTTCCCCTTTAGGTTCAGGTCTCAGTCAATGAGAAACCAAATCCATCCTCTACAAGTCTATTGAGGTCTTCAGTTTGGCTTCCCAACTCCCCACTGCAGCAGGAGTACACACTGGTGTCCACTGACACGTGAAGGCCTTGAAACAAGTATGGAGGGAAAGCTCTATATAGACAGAGCTCATATGATTACAGATAACAGCCTTTGAAAACACCTATAATGACACTCAGCAATGACACATAGACTTTCTAACCAACCAGTGAATGAGAAAAAGGTTTTCACCATGACGGTACTATTTGGGTATGGTGAAGGAGTGGGAAAGATCACTATTACAACCCTACAAGAACAACTCTTAAGCTTTATACTTCAAAACTTGGAATGACCACAAAATAAACTCAAGGGCACTGCCCACTGTGACCATGAATGCAGCAGGCACTTGATTATAGTCAGGTGAGTACTTGTACAGACACTCTCAAACTGCTCTATCATTTTTATTTTTCAGTTCTATATTCTGCCAAAATGAGATGTAAGACCACTGAGTAAAAAGGCATTAAGAATATAAAATTGAAAACAGAAAACCATACCTTGAAATGGACAAGCATATATATACATACATACATATCTATCACAATTACTAATAACCCCATCATCAGAATTATTAGCTCTAAAAAAAATTACTAGCTCTCATGGTTTGCACCACAAAATAAATTAACTTTTATTATTATTATTTTTTTTCTCCTTTTGTAGTACTGGGGATCAAACACAGGTCCTTGCACTTGCTAGGCAGGCACTTATGTTGCTGAGCTATATCCTCAGCCCTAACTCTTATTCTCTACAAGAAGTCATTACATTAAGTTTTCAAGAGAGAATGTTCTTCTGGAATTAGGTTTTATAAAAATATGAAATGATATAATAGAGATGTCTTTCATAAAAGTCAGAAAACAAAGCACATTTGTTCTATGGTCATTAAACAAAAACATTCCTCAGAAAGTTTTCATGCATGGGGCCAAGTAACTGGTATACCCGGGTAGCTTTGTGGTGATTTAATTTGATGAGAAAATAGGGTATGCAGTTTTTAGACTTCAGCAGAATTTCTGAGGACAAATAATTACACAAAATATCTATTTTATATATTTTATGAAGGGGCTCATGGCAGCCAACAACCTATAATGGGCTAAGCATTAATGACTTCTACTATAATCTGCCATACATAGTAAGGACTAAGTGTTGTTTAAATTAGTATTTGCAGAGTGTCAGGCAACAATGTAAAGCAAACAATATAAAAACCCACAATATGGAATAGATGAAATTTAATTTTTATTTTTGAGACACACAAAAAAATGCTATTATTCTAAAGGAATTGAAGATACTGTACCAACAGACTTTTTAAGGGAAATGACAGCATAATTTCCAAGTCGGTTTGCTTGCTTTAAAACATATGTAGTAGAAACTCATCTATAGTACTTGGTATCATCAAGGAATCAGATGTCTAAGGTATTGAATTTTTTACTCAATGTTTATTTCCCTATGTACTAACATTCCTTAAGAAGTTATAAAAGGACATGTTTTGAAACCATATTATACCATTTTCCTAAGTCAAGAATATTAGACCCAGTTTCTCTCTTTTCTTGATGGCTTGGGGTCACTGGTCCTTTAGAGCAATAGTCTTAATGTTTAAGGAGAGGTGGATAACCCCTTACTACTGAGCCAGAAAATTTTTTTGGGTTTTCCATTTAGTTTCATAGCTTTTCTGACACCACAGTAACTGTTACTTTTTGTTGCCATCAATGGGCCTGCCTTTAGCACTGGTCTTTGCACTTATAATTCACAATGGCATAAGACACTACTTTGGCTGTGGGCTACCTTTTGCCTCCTGTAGAGTTCTGCCTCCATGTCATGATTAACTATGGTCTTATGAAACAAGTTACATGTTTCAAGTAAGCAGTATGTCATGACAGAGGATTTTCCAAACAGCTCTGCTGAGACACAATAACTAACACACATAACTTAAAGAAAGGAGGTTAAATATGTCTCAATTTTGAGGGATTCAGTCAATGGCTACCTTGCTCAAAGGCATAAACATCACCATAGGAAGTCATGATGGAAAAAAGCTTCTTAGGTCTTGGTGGCTAGGATACAGAGCAGAAGAGTGCCAGAGAAGAAAGGGCAAGGGCAAGACAGGCCAGGGATACACCTTCATCACCCACTGAGACACTCCTGGAAGTGTGTTCCACCAATCCAAGAGGACCCCAAAGCAGGCTAAGCTCACAGTCCCCATTAAGCACCACAAGTGATTTTTATAGAATCTCTAAATTACTTTATATGTCCTTTTGTATGACAGGAAAGACAATAATTTAAAGAGCAATCATCTACTGGCTCTTTACATCAATTCCTATCTGCTCTTGTACTACACACAAAAGATTACTATAAACCTTTAACCATCAAAATACTAATAAATTATAGACATGAGTTACACAGTGAGATGGCACTACCTACCTTACATTTTAGGATGGTTAAAATGAAACAGACCAACTATATCAAAATTTGAGCAAGCATAAGGAATAGCTACAACTCTCATACACAGGTGAAAAAGTATGTCACCTCATAAAAGTTTGGGTTTTTGCCAATATTTATCATATAACTACTGCAGTACTCAAATGTTTTACTCCTAGTTCTTTAATTAAAAAAAGTAATTAAACACTGAAGAATTCCATTTGTGTAAAATTCTAAAAAATGGAAATAAATCTTTCAGAGAGAAAATATCAATAATTCTCATGGGTTAGGCAGAGGGATTACAAATGAAAGAAATTCTGATGATAGTGTTCATTATCTTGATTGCAGGGATGGCTTTATGCAATTATAAATATGCCAAAATAGTAATCTGAATGCTTCCAATATGTACAGTTTACTGAGCTTCAATTATATCTCAATAAAGCTGTAAAATACAGCATGATTAAGTATTCCATAAGTATCTGTTATTATTGATGACATTGAGGTTTAAAACAAACAACAAATGGAAGAAGAATTTGGAATACTTGTCTGAAGATGAGCACAAAATTTATAAAATTTGCTCCAGTTCACAAATGGGGATGAACCCACAAAGGCTTTAAGTGCCCTGAGGTATCAGGAAGTATCTCCTCCAAGGCATCAATAAACAACCCAACCACAAAACTATAAGAAAATAACCATCACCAAATGCAAAATCAGACTGTTACAACATCAACCTAAAGAAACCGTAGGTGTCTAATAGGAGCTGGTAAGCTGGAGAAAGCCTCCATTGTACAGGGGATTTTTCAGGGCACCAAAGGAGTATTAGTTTCTTCTTATACCTCATGCCAGATTAGTAGTCTCCTGATCATCCTTAATCCCCAGAGGTGCCCAAAGGATGGGGACAATTTGATTATTAACTAATCAAATTTACTGACTGCTTACCTAGTTTACAGCATTTACTTAATCTTTGTGAGTACACAGGCACAGAGAGACACGATTTCTTGCTAAAGTTACAGAACTGGTAGCACAGCTCGAGTCAACACATGCAGTCTGATGCTAAAGTCCATGTTCTTTACCACAGAACCACACACTATACTGCCTTCCTTGTCAGACAAGTTTTCTTGCCTTTACAACACATTGAGAATGAAAATGCTCTATTAATACCAGTTTTCTTTCCTCTGAGCTGCCAGGTGATTATATCCTAAGAACTGAATAAAGGTACAAATGACATACTTTTAGCTAGAAGACATTGTATAAATTATGACTTTCTTTAAAAAGTAATTCTATTAGCTTAGAAATCACTAAAATGAAATCCTTAAAACAGATCACTGTCTTTGCTCAGTTTTATGATTAATTTAGGACCTCTAAAAGAAAGTTTTACATATTGAAACATTCTTTACAAGAAAAAGTAGCCTATTTGATAATTTAGTACTCAACATTTCTTTTTAAGGTAAGTTCGTTCCTACACAGAAGACAGTAGGAATTTTGCTTTTTCTGAAATGGATGAGAAATCAAACACCCATTGTGTACAGACTAGTTTATCTTGAAATTAGCCTTGATACTTAGGAAAAAAAGAGCATAAAACTTTGATAATCAATTCTATTTACTGAGTCAGCTAATACATATAGTTACATAGACAGTCACTTTTATTTCTCATGTAAGATATTATTACCTGCTATAGGGTGGGTACTGCTATATGTAGAGAAGACACGGTAGGAATAAGACTCTGATTTGTACCCTCATAGTCCATTCTACAGGGGTGAATCTGACAACACACAAATGACAACAAATATACAGTGTGTCCAATGATGGTCTCTAATAGGGCAAAATAAGGCAGGTAGTTAGGAGGCAAGGGCTTGGATGATGGGGGTAGATTGAGAATAGATGGGTGGCCAGTGCTCTTTTAAACAGTCTCTTGAAGTCTTTAGGTCAAATGATAAGGAATGTATATATTAAAGTGGTAAACAGCAATTACGTTTATTCTCATGCCTAATAAAGAAAACTGAAAGCAAGCCACACATGATGGTGCATGTAATTCCAAGTCTGGGAGGCTGAAGTGGGTGAATCACAACTTTGAGCCTAGCCTAGGCAACTTAAGAGATCCAAGACCTTGTCTTAAAATTTAAGAAGAGATGCAGATGTACTTTGGTCCACAGGCCCTATGCTCAATTCTCAGTACCACCATTATCAGAACAAACCTCACCACCACCACCACCACCAAAAACATGTTGGGGAAATTTGAGAGTTCAAATGCCTATAGGGGCACAAAACATCAGCTGAGTACTCTCTCTGTCCAGAAATGATCAGAAGGACACACCTGAAGGGAATCACACACTAGTATTCAGGTTTTCCTAATCATCTCATAACCTTACCAAAAATAACAGTCCCACTTCCACATCCAATTGGGACACAGTTCTTAAAATAATAAGGATCAAAATAAAAATTACTAATAAATTTCCCATCTGATCGAGGAATACATTCTATGCAATAAGCCCAAAATAAAGAATCTGAAGTTAATTCTATTAGAATTAGATAAAATTAAATATTATGTAGTTCTTTGAAGTATGAAGATGAGATGAAGCAAGATGAGAAAAAAAAATAACTAGGTTTCTTAAATTTAGGATGTATGCACATAAAGTCCTAGATTTTAAAACCAATTTTTGTGAGCTATTCAAACAGAAATGAAACACTTTTCCATTAACATATTCTCAAACATTAGAATGTATTAATTTTAAACCAATTTGTCCTTTTGTATAAAATAAGAATGTGGATAATTTTATTTTTTTATTATAGTCACATAATAAATTGCCAGTCATCTGAACCAAAGGCTCAGGGCTATTTTAAGGTTCTAGAATTATATAGGACTCAAACAAAGACCCTTAAATCATTAAGTGCCCCCAGGAAGAATTCCCTTTAGAAAATCCCTCAAGTAATGTCTTATTGTTTGACAATATTTTAAAAACTTAAGTCATTCCTATTTAAAATCCTCAACCTGCATACCTCTATTCCCACCTATGTGCTTTAGTTCTTTCCTAGAAAAGATCAAAATCAGTTTATCCTCTCTATTGCCAACCTTTGATAAGTATCTATGAGGACCCTTATTCAAGGCTTCTCTACTCCCATGGAAATATGTCCAGTTCCTTCAATATTTCAATAATATTCATAGTAATCCCCGTGTTCTTAAAGATGCACATACCATTTCATTTACATCTATAAGCATAGTGACACAACTTCATTCCTTCACTTATAATACATGAACTTGTTCTTTCTGGCTTAGCACCAATGTATAAAGCAGGTTTAATCAAACTATAATGACTATCTGGAGATGCTTGTTAGAAAGTTTCTAGACATCAGAATCAAACTCTCTGGGAGGGTGCCTCGAGATCTATAGCTGGAGGAACAACCTCCATAATCCTTGGTTATTCCTGGGCTTAAGAATCAAGGTGTAAGATTTAAAATGGGCTTTTGCTTCCTAAAAAAGACACTATAAGTAAGTATTAAAAAATTGAAAGATGCACCTGTAATCCTGGAATAAATCGAGTGTCTTTTTCAACCACCAGAAGTTCAGCAACATTGGCACTGAGAATGGATCTTGTGATTCCTCCTGGTCCAGGGCCCACTTCATAAACATAAGCATTTGTCAGATTTCCAGCTTTCCTTACAATTTTATCTGAAGAAAAGAAAGTTTTAGGCTTGTCAGTCATCTTTGCAAATTTCAATGTACGAAATTTTAAAGGGAAAATAATCCTATAAAAAATTCTTAATCAGTTGTTGCCCAATCAACAAATCCTTAACACAGTATTTTATGGTTACTTAGCTCTCAACCTAAACCAGCATTTAATGGTTATTCATATTCTATGACATCACTTCAATTTTACCAGTTAACAAAAATGAAATTATTGTGACAAATTTCCTTAACTTCAGCTAAACTGAATCCTCTCCCCATTCATCCACCAAAACAATCAATTACTAGGACTTGGCTAGATAAGCATGTTACAATACTTCTCTAAGTTACTGAATACCAAACATTTGAATAAATGAGACTACTGTCCTACTAAGAATCTTCAATTGTACTAGCTAGTAATTCTAAAGCAGCAAGGGCAGGCAGTCATCCATTGTATCTGTAGACACCTATTTTGTATTCAGTGTGGCACTAGCAACAAATTCCTGAGAAATTTAAATTCTTGGTCATTTCCAGAAAAAAGAATCAAAATTTGGTACTGGTATTAAGAAACTGAAAGATGTACATTAATATGAGAATATTAAGTCTTCCATAAATTAAATTTAAATTAGCAGACCTAGTTATAAAAAAAAGCAAAGTTCTGATGGTTCAGTACAAATGATCTCACTTCTAGAAAAATATACTATGGAATGGTCTTATGACTCTTAAGATATTAAAATCCAAGCATCTGAGCTTCTCATTTTTTAAAGCTAGAAAGCTAGGAGTACACAGTGATTTCACCTTCACACTTCTCAGTATACTGAAATACTGATGAACATCAAACGCTATGTCAGGTCACTAGGCTTGAGTATCAGTTTTGCTTTGTCTCCTCCTAACCTTCACTCTCTGACAAGTACCTTAACCTCTTTCACTATGTTTTCCACAAGAAGAGTAGATTATACTACCTAGAATGTGGAACTCACTCATGAATAAAGACTTGAGAAAATACAAAAGCAGAAATTTGTAAAAATGTATTTTCATGCCCAAAAATAGTACTACTTTATATATATTTAAAATGCAACTCATCACTAGAAGAACGGGCTGGTACTATTTGTTATTAGAAACAATGAATTTTAAAAGTTGGCAGTTTTTTACAAGCCCTTGTAGTAGGCCCCTGTTCCAATTAAAAATTTAAGCTGTTTTATCCAAAGTAAAATTGCTACAGGCAGAATAAAGCCTATTAGGGGTGATCAAAAGTTATTTTGAATGTTTCAATTTTCTAAAAAAAATGCAGTGAAGGACACATTGCCAGCCAAGGATGGTGAGATGTGTTTGAAGCAAGGGGCAGTATTTTGAGCATTCTGAGGGGATTGATGGCAATGTGTTTACTATAATAAATTTTTAAATGTTTATCCATCATATGTCACAATCACTCCTGCTGACCATTACATTTATGGCAATTTCTATCAAATAAAAATGTTACAGTATGTTCTCATCTGCTTTATTCACTGGATTTGGAGCTGGGGACTTCTGGCTCTTCTCTAAAGTGCCATCAAATGGTAAATGTTTTGAATTGATTCAGGCATTGAGGTAGTACAAATATTCTAACTAAAGATGTTTACCAGAGGACTTCTAGAGCTGCTCCATAAAGTCACAAGAATGACGTGTGCTCAAAGAAAAGGGGACGGGGTTTGAGTAAGATGACTGGGAATGAATGTGTCCTTTACTGTAATACATATTTTTAAAAATTGAAAGCCATTTTTTTTTTTTAGCATATCTCAGTGTTCAAGACATAAAACATACATTCTTTGTGGACTGCATCATTTAACGGAAATGAACTTTTTGGTTAGCGTTTTAAGAGGAGCCAAGCAGCATGAAATATCAAAATCTCAAAATGTAAGTACTCCTGTAGAGAATTAGTAGTTACATTTGTAAGATTGTGCTCTTGAAATTTCACCTTTCACAAGAAAGATGATTAAGAAATGGGAATGGCAGTTAAACCAACGTATATATTTATCAAAATTCACCAAGTCAACATCTCAAACTGCTAAATTTCATTACATATAAATTTTATCTCCAAAACAAGTGAGCTAAAAGAAAGGTGTGGGGATATAAACTATTATTGAAACCGCTCCAGGACCGGCTGCCTCGCTCCTTTCCTTACGCTATCACCAGCATTAGCATTGAGGTCTCACAATACATATTTTCGCAATATGTATTTTCTCACAATACATATTTTCGCAATACCTGCACCTTTGAGGATTTCTTTGACTTAATACGTGAACGCTTAAATAATAAATCCTATGAAGGTCACCCTTTTGAAAGAAGGTACCAACGAAATCTATGCACCAATTTAGATTATGTAAATTTAAAATGCATGACAAGCCGCACGGTCACTTCGCACAGTTCCTCCGCAGCGGCTGACTTCAGCGACGACCCACGACCCCTCCGACCCCGTGCGCTTAGCTCCGGGCCCGGGGCTGGGCGGGCCCACGCAAGGCTGGGGCTCCTCAGTAAGTCAGCCCTTCCACGTGTCGGGAGATAGGGCCTCCGCCAACAAAAGGAAGAACGTGGCCAGGCGCCCGCCGCGTGCGCCCGCCGGCCCTGAAGACCTGCCCGCGGGGTTGGCGCGAGACCCGGGCCCACGCCCCCTGGGTCCCCGGCGAGAACTGGGGCGCCCTAACAACACATCCACCTGTCAGCCTCAAGTCCAGGAGAAAATTCTGGGACAGCTGCTTCACTGCTTGTAGTTTGAACAACTTAATGATTTCTCGAATGGTGGGCAACGGAGGGAGACGGAGCCCGGAGGCCGCCATGAGTCCTGTAGGGGCCGCTGGTCTCACGAGTGCCTTCCGCGAGGTTCAAAAGCGCCCGGCAGCTGAGGAACCTGGGAGGTTAGAGCCCGCCTCCGTGCACGGTTCGTTGGTCGGAGGCACCCCGCCGGAAGTGACGTTTACAACAGGAGGTCCGGGGCGCTGAACGCGCAGGCTTTGCGAGCTGGGAATAGTAGTTTTTGTGTGGGAAAGCAGTGACGAGTCCAGCTGGAGTAGCTTGCTAAGAGTGGATGCAAATGGAGACCATACTTATAAGTGAAATAAATCAGAACCACATGTGTAAACATTGTATTTCTTTCTCCCTAGTATAAGAAACAGTAAAATCTGAAAGGTACAACAGGTATAGTGAAAGGGCAAGAAGCTGATCAAAAAGGAAAGAACAACTGGGATGGTGGAAAGGAGAAAAGAAAGAAAGGCGAAGAAAATAAAGTATATTTGTATTATTAATTTCCACTGGCTACTTGAAAGGAACAATTAATACCTAATCAATTTTGCATACCTGTGTCTGGTAATCTGCACTACTCTGAAGATAGCAATATGCAACCTAATTTGTTAATTTCCTATCATTGTTTTGAGATCTTGCATAGTTTTTTATTTTTATCTATTTATCTATTTTCTCTCTAAAAAATGCAAAAAAAAAAAAAAAAAAAAAAGGTGGGAGATGGAAAAAGTGCCCAGGTGGATCGGGTTAGGCCCAGCTTGGGAAAATTTGTCCTTGCTCTTTAACCATACATACAGAGATGGTCTTCTGAGGCCCCAGATTCCTCACTGGGAATAGCCGAAAGCTGGTGATTCAATGTAAATCTCTTTGTTGGCAATTCTGTCTTATAGCTGGATGTGTTTATGACCTTACTTCTGTAGTTGCTGCATATTGTGTGCCTTTCTTAGCCTGTTTTTAGTTTTTTTACAAAGAAAATATGTATTTTCACAAATATAGACTATACGTATTTTCACAAATACAGAACAGGCTATATACGATGCATGCCAACAGAAAGTTTTTATATAAGGGGCATTCTGCACCTTCTACAAATTTAAACTACAAAAGATATCATATTTTCAATATATAATATCAAAAAGGAAAAAAAAAAGCAATTTTAAAAATCACTGACATTGCGATGCAACATGCATGAATCTAGATCTCTGTAGCTTCTGAAAAACCAGAGTAACTTTTCTTGTGGAGTTATTAATGAGGGTAGGCAGTGATCTATGCCAAATTTGGTTGAAAAAGAACTCAGAACACTAACAGAGAGGAAAAATAGAGTAGCACGGGTGACGATATTCTTCTATTAAACGAGAGTATACACACGTGATGAGGAATGGGTGCGTGCATAGCTGTGGTTCAGAGGGTGAACCCCAGCTGGAAAACCTAATTGTGTTCTTTTATTGGGATGTGGCCTGGGGTAAGGGGCCTCACCTGTGGGAACAGATAGTACTGTGTCTAGAGACTCTTTGGAGCAGTCATGAGCACACACTATCAAACTCCATAACAGAATCAACACAAGTCTGGAGAAGGGTAAACTTAAGTCCTAATACATACCAACTATTGCAGACAAGACAACATCCCCGATCACCAAACATGAGCTTTAATAAATGTACTGTACAGTATTTGTAAGCTATTATTAAGGCACTAAAACGATAAAACACAAATTCCACTGTAGGAAGTAGGACAGACCAGCTATCGTATGAAATAAGTTCCCTCGTCTAGATGTTAGAGGCTGAGCCATCTGGTTAGAAAGACAAAAGATTTATAGAGGGGCCTAAGATCAGAGTTGGGTCTGGACTACCAACTAGGAACAAGGTGGCCTTGTGATTCCAGAAGGACCTAGGGCCTGTACTGGGCAGCATCACTCCAGATGGGACTATGGGATTCCTTTTTAGGCCAGGGAACACAGAAGGTGTACGGATGAGAGAAATGATATACATGATAATTTGACTCAAGTTGCATTATCTATTTATCTTCTATCTATATATGAGGCATGTGCTGAAACATAAACACGTATTTACATATATGTGTTCAGGGTGGACTCATTCAAAAGCAGAACAGATAACAAAACAAGTGGCTGTGTGTAGGAGTAAATCATTTGGATTTTATAGTCATCAGGAACCTAGAAGGTGGGACGAGGGCAAGTGCACCTGAACTGTGCAGCCCAAATGTCATCAAGTTTTTGATTTACGCAGCTCTCTTGCCAAAGGTGAAATGGTTGCCCTTAAGGGTTTGTTTTCTTCAGGGGGCCCTGCTAGGTAGCCAGCCAACTGGTAGGGTTAGATGAAATGAATTCTGGCACCAAAAATTTCCAGCCAAGAGAAAGCAATTCCCTTCCCTCCAGTTACCATAAGCGAAATTATCTAATATGACCCTTAACTAAATGATGCAGTATTTGTTCCTGCCAGGGAGAAATGATCCTGGGGAGCAGGGAGTTCACAGTTCTGGGTCCTGGAGACAAGATACAAAAGTACAGTATTGCTATATATGTCTATTCTATTTAACCTCAGCTTTGTTTTGTGACATCTTTTGGCCTATGATACAGGAGAAGAGCTTCAGAAGTTGATTGGAATGCTTTTGAGCTTCAGAGAATGGATAAGACACGTGGAGTACAATGGGGTGTGGACAATGAAGCACCCTGTTTAGCTACTGAGTAACACAGTACACTACTGAGCAACAGGGCAGGGAGGAGAAGGCCTGATACCCAGCAGTGAGCTGTACATGGGCAGGGGTCTTTGTTTCTTTTTTGTTAAAGATAATAAAAATAATACAGAATTTCAAAACAAAATGATAGAAAATTAACAATGGTTAGTGTATCGAGCATTGTTACCTTCAATAGTTGCTCAGATTACCAGATAAAGGCATGTGAGATTAATCAGACAATATAAACACTGTTTCTTGCACAAAGACAAGGAGGCAGGGAAGGCACAGAGAAAGAGACTGCTCTTAGGATGTTTATGCAACCAGGGATTTTGCTAGAAGTCTATGAAATAGCTCTACGGGAAAGAAATGAAAATTGGCATTGTCAAGACTCCAGTACAGGGCAGCCTGGTCTTTTTTTGTGATCAGTTTCCCATTTATGCTTAACAAAATCTGGCAAGAAGACCTACTTCAAAGCCAGACAAGGCTGTAACAAAGTTCAGTGTAACTACTGGTATACATATGAATCAAGCCAGGTAGAAGGATGACAAGCAACCCAATACGCAGGATGTCAGACTGATTAGAAAATGTTCCTCTTTCCTTAATTCAAGGAAGGCATTCAATGAGAATGGCAGTCACCAAAATCAATAACTTGCACAGCATCAATCTGTGCATTCTCTGCCTGTCTTTCTTTTGTGCCATTTGCATTCTAAATTTTCCTTGTCAGATAAGGTTACACACAAAGTGCCAGGAGAGTTGTGACATAGCTTAAGGAGTAAACTTTTTTTTTCTGATTACTAGTATGAATTTGTCTTTGTCCTAACCTAGCAGAATGCTTTTGCCTTGCTAATGTGACATTTTAAATTTGCCATATGTTTATCAGCAGCAGGTCTGGGTCTCTAAGAACAATCTTCATTCTTGCCTTCAGATCATAGAATAAACCATCAATAAATCAAGAATGCTTTATTTGCTCTAATGAGGGCGACCAGAGCCTTGGTCTACTTAGATGTTGATTGATATATTAGCTGTGCATCTAAAACAGAATAAATAGGTTTGCCTAAGACCAATTTATATTTATAATCTTCCTCATCTCCACTCTTTAACTGGACAAGAAAAATTACGGCTTTCAAGATTAAAGTTTTCAAAAATGTAGCACTTTCCTACATAGATGAAAAAAACCAACACCAGCCTCTCCTCATCAAGTTTAAAAAATTATTTTGACACAAAAATTGATCTGCATGAAATTTAACTTGGCAAAACATAAGTGAGCTTGACAGTTTTTTGAGGAAAAAAAAGATGCTTTTTGTTCGCTGAAGAATAGGGGGCAACCCCACAGGGTTTCAGAAGTAAGTGAAGAATACCCTTGTAAGGTGATTATTGAAGGTTAATGTGCTTCACCCAGCTGAGGGCAAGATGGAATTGTGGGGAAGTTTCTATGTTCCCCACATACGTAAATACTCATCATGACAAGAGAAGCAAGATGGGGGTGTGCTGTCAAGGCCCGGGGTTTGGAGGAGGGGATAGTTTGGTCTGAGGTGTCAGTGAGACACAGGAGGCTTTCACATTTCTTGCTGCAGGTCCGTGGTTAGCTCTGTATTATTAAATAAAACCAGCAACAGCAAACTTCTATAAAGTGCCAGCCAGTAATTGTAATTATCTCAGGATTTGTGTGGACTCTGTTGCACATTAGTTTATTTTTTTTTAACCTCTTAAAAATATAAAAACCAGGTGGGTGTTGTGGAGGATGCCTGCAATTCCAGCACTTGGGAGGATGAGTCAGGATGATCTTCAGGAGTTTGAAGCCAACCTGGGCTATAGCGAGTCCAATATCAACCTGAACTATATGACAGGATCCTGTCTCAGAAAGAGAAAGAAAGAAAGAAAGAAAGAAAGAAAGAAAGAAAGAAAGAAAGAAAGAAAGAAAGAAAGAAAGACAAGCAAGCATTCTTGGGTCACAGAGGCTGTATACCATAGTTTATATAGCCCTGAATCAAGCTCTATCCCTGAATCAAGGTACTTCTCTTTCTTCAAAACAGTTTTAGAATTCCACCTTGCTGAGAGAGAGCAGGTGAATCCCTGGTTTCAAGCCCTGAACTGCGAGCCCCATTTTTACCTAGTTGTTCATGGTGGTGCTACCCAGAGGTAAGTCTTGGGCTACAGTCTTTACCACTCTGTCCCTGCTGCTGGGAAAAGCTGAAGAAACAGGAAACAGTGCTCCTTCCTCACAGGAAAAGACAGATGTACACATCTGTAAAGTCTTTCCATCAGTCTCACTGCTCAGAGAAGCCGCTAGATGTGACTTCTGGAGTAGGACCCTTAAGAGTTTCCCACTACCAAAGTCCTATTTGCCTCCCATACAACAGAGGAGTAGATAAGACTTAAAGACCATGAGGGTTAGGTTTTCTGGCAGGACAAT